CACTCCAAACCTCCACAGCCACTTACCAAGGAGAGCCATGTTAAATGGCACCAACCTCCTTATCCCTAAGCCTCCCGCCTGAAGCAACCTACAAAACTGCTCCCAACGGACAAGGTGATACTTAAATTCGCCTTGTAAACCACCCCAGAGAAAGTTCTGCTGAAGCCTCTCAATCGAAGCAGCAACCATGGATGGAATCTGGAAGAGGGATAGAAAATATGTAGGAAGGCTTGAAAGCGTACTTTTCAAAAGAGTGACCTTCCCACCTTTCGATAAGTACTACTTCTTCCACCCTGCCAGTCTCCTCTGAACCCTCCCAACCACCGGATCCCAAGCACCTACAGTCCTCGAAGAAACTCCCAAAGGTAACCCCAAGTATGTAATTGGAAAACTACTAATTCCACATCCAAGAACAGAGGCTAACTCACCTATATTATGCACCTTCCCCACTGGAATCAAAGCACTCTTCCCTACATTCACTTTCAAGCCTGAAGCTACCTGAAAACAAACCAACACTGACCTCAAATACCTTATCTGGGACACCTCCGCCTCCCAATTAACCTATTCAGGGCCTCCATAACAATAATGAACATTAATTTTAGATGAAATAACAAGAGAATTTCAAAATGAGATTCTATGGTGCATGAAGTTTGCCGATGATATTGCGCTTTTGGATATCTCTAAAGAGAACTTGGCAATAAAATTAGAACCATGGAGAAATGCTTTAGAATCAAAAGGATTGAGAATTAGTTGAACTATAACCAAGTATATGGAGTGCAAATTTAATAAATATTTGAATAGTGATAATATAATTGTAGCACTTCAAAACCAATGGATTGCTCAAAACAACCACTTTCGGTATCTAGGATTGATAATACAAAAGGAAGGGGAGAGAGATAATGATGTAATTAGTAAAATTGGAGTGGATTGGACAAAATGGAGGTAAGCTAGTGGGATTTTGTTTGATAAAAGAATAGCACTTAGGCTAAAAGGAAAAAAATCCTAGAGGACCATTAATAGATCAACTATGTTGAATGTAGTGGAGTGCATGGACTTAAAAAAGAAACAAGAACGTCTTCATGAAGCGGAAATGAGAATGTTAAGATGGATGAATGGAGTGACTAGAGGAGATAGGGGTCACTAATGAAAGCGTGAGGAGATATTAGGGGTAGGACCCATTGAGTAGACTTTGATGGGTTGGACATATGCATCGGAGACCTATTGATGCGCCAGTCAAACGGGGAAGACTAATTGTAATAGAAGGAAAGAGGCGGAGAGGGTGACCAAAAATTGCATGGGATGAGGTTATTTAAAATGATGTTAAAAAGTTAAATATAGTAGGTGAATTGGCACGAAATGTAAAAGTTTGGCGAGAGAGAATTCATATTGCTGACCCCATTCGGGTGATGAATTTAAGTTTCACTTGGTTAATTGGGAGGAGGTATGCAAACCTATTTAGTGGGGGGTTTGGGTATTAGGAGATTTAATTTGTTCAATAAAGCTTTGTTGGGAAAATAGCTATGGAGATTTGGGGTTGATAGATACAAATTGTGGAGGAGAATCAGTGCATGTAAATCTGGGGAGGATTGGGGTGGTTGGAGTTTTAGGGAGCCGAGGTCTCTATTAGGGGTGAGAGTATGGAAATTCATTTATAAGGGGTTAGAATGAGTTTTCAGATCACATTCGATTCAAGGTGAGGAGCGCAAGACTTGTTCGGGTTTCGATTTGATACTTGGTGTGGTGATAGGTCTTTAGCGTGCCATGCACTCTTCTGAGCCTTTTCTTGATTGCGGTGGATGAACATATTTCGGTCACTGATTGTTATCGTCTTGATAGCAGAAGGGTGACATGGGATGTGCAGCTTGAGCTGCAGCTGCGGCACCTTGATTTGGAGTTGGAGCGCTAGATTATACTTAATTGGCGTTGTATTTGGAAAAATGATGAGGAGTTGGTGAATCTTCGTCTTTTTTGATTTTTTTTATTTATTGTATGGCTAGGGACGGTTGAGCCATACTTTTTACTTTTTTTGGTATTCATTGGAGCATGCCGAATTCCGCGAAGTGTGTGCTTGAGGCTTGGAGAGGATGTATGGTAGGGGACAAAGCCCGAGATGCCTGAAGGGTAGCCTTCCTTTGCTTGTGGTGGGGCTTGTGGTGAGAGAGAAATAGGAGGTCTTTTGATGAAGAGGTAGTTCCCATTTGGATTTCAAAATTCTCTATTCTGCATTTGCTTTTATTTTTGGGTTCATGAGTGTAATTGTAAATCTGTGGAGGAATTTCTGGATGGTTTGAGAGAATAGTGGGCCTTTTTGACTTTTTATGCAGTTGTATGTGGGAGACACTCCCCTTTTGAGCGCTCTTTAATAAAATCTTACAAAAAAAAAAAAAAAAATTCAATCAAATCTCTAAACGATTATGTGTCCTATACGTTAATCTCAAAATTTTATCTTTTTTCTTACATTGTTTTTAGTCTTTGGTTTCAAGTGTCACTTTCTTTGTTCACCTAAGATTAGCTTTTGGTCCTTTATGAAGAAACATTTCCAATAGATTTCTTAGGATTTTAATATCCCAGGAACCTAAAGCTATATTGACAAAGTTTTTAAAATCTTCTTTCTAAATCCACACAGAATTGCTTTTCATAAATTTATGCAAGTGTGGAAAAACAAGGCTAGTGAAAAAAAGAAAGAAAGTGTAAGCATGGGAAAATAAGATAAGTAAAGTTTCCCTAATAAGAGGCTGGTTTAGGGAAGGAATACGCAGTTGTTTCGTGTTGCATAAAGTCCATCACAGTGTGATCCACTAGAGGGGTTGTGGTATCTCCTCTCTGGGCGCAATTGAAAGTGTTCCATGTGACCACATGACTGGAGCAGTTCATGTTGATCCAGGAGTCCGCAGCCTCTCCCATCACTCCTTACTTGTCTTCCAAATGACCCGCAGAATATCAGGGTGAGAAGGAGTATTAAAAGGTAATCCACTTGTATCTAGGGGTATTACAGTATGGTGTTTTGCATGCAATGTCATCGTGGCCATGTTTTGACCACAGGGCTGTAGAGGTATGGTTCGAACTTGGGTCGTTGAGGCATGGTGGCCTGTGTTAGGGACTTGTTGAGGTGAACGTGTAATGTCGTAGTGCGGCTCACTCTTCCCACTCTATCTGGGCTCTACCGGAGATGTGCGAAAGGACACATGGCGCACATAGCGCAATTAATGGTTTCCAGCTGTTGGCACGTGTACTAATGGTTATATAATCAGTAGCAGTTTCCCTTCAACTCCAACTAGTCAGAACTGATACACCCTCGAAATCAGCATCCTTTCACTCCTTAATGGATAATCAGCTCCTTCATACTTCCTTGTTATCCAGGAAACTGAGAAATAGATACTGCGGAGTTTGCATCATTTGCCAGACATTCATGTATCTGGGTGCTCCACCAATGACTCTGCTCTAGTCAACACTAGCCCAGTTGCAACCAGAGCCACCAGTGAAGAAATATAGGCCGTCTTGCATCAGTAGGAGCTGGATTCCATGGCCATGTACAAAAATTAGAACATCAAAACTCCAGTAGGATGTATATCTTTTAAACCCCTCCCTCCAGCCAAAAATAAAATAAAAAAATTAGGGAAAAACATGCTCCAGGACTTTTTATTAGAATTGTTAATTGCAATTTGCAACTTAATTCCCTCTTTGATGTAAACATTTTGTTCTTAGAGGAGGAAGTCTTTTTCATTGTTGTTCGATCTATAACACCTTTCCATTGAGTATTTTTTAGCTTACTATAACGTTGTTATCGGATCTAAATGCCTTTCTATTTTCTGTGCTCATGTTGCCCAATTAAGGGCATTCGATATAATATTATATGATCCAATGATAATATATTCGCTTGTGTTACAAGAATTCTCCTGTTCCTCTCAAAATATCCATGCCAATGCGATACAATATGAGCATGGGTATCTCATATGCATTTGATTACACACACAGAAGCTTCCCAATGGATTCACAATATGGGTATGTGCATGGGTAATAGACACAGTAGTTGCTGACGTTGCAGAGTCATACTAATTCTCATTCGTCTTTTATCAGCCTAGTTGCTATGTGCCTCAGTATTACGTTAATTGCAACGAGTCTAATGCGTTTTCCATAATGGAGACTGCACTATGATCTCCTCAAGGAAAGTTGATGAATATAGGTGGAATTACTAGCCTTTCTTGATCACCATATAGACCTCGGTTTCTCGAATGATCGATTATCACTTAGAAGCTAACACTTGAGTGTTAATTCACAAACAAAAAGTTTGCAAAATGTGTGTGTGGAAGCTTGAGAGAAAGCAAGAAGTGCTTTGTATTGAATTCCTTTCAAGAGAAGGAAATAGTTAGAAACATATCAAGAGGCTTGAACAATCCTTAAACTTGTTTATATAAAGTTCATAAACCAAATTCAAGTCTTATTAGAGTTAGAAATCAATTTGGAAATGTTTCATGTAGTTTGAACGACTAGGACATGTTTAAATACTAAAAATTCTTTAAATTGAGTTTGCACAATAATATATTGGTACTTGTAAAATTGATGCATCGATACTTTAAGTCTCTGGAGTACATGTATGCACCTATATAGAGGTGCATAACTCTTAAGACTGCATTGTACCTGTGCATTTGAAATACATGTACTAGTGCATCATGCAAATATTGGAAATTTTGAAACTTTTTAATAAAAAAAGAAATGTCCTTGTTTTTGAAGCAACTTAAAACAAAAATATAGTTTCCGAATCATTTTATGGTGTCCTCTCAAGACTCATTTACCCGTCCTAGGTGTCCACGATGATCTTTCATGATTTCTTTTAACACTTTGGCAACAGTCTTGTTGACTTTGGAGCTTTACTTGGAACATGATTCAAAATAAAATACAAATTTGTAACTCAATGAGGTTTTGACCACGAAATTTGCCAACACATAGACACAGAGTGCTATCACACAAGTCCAAATTGGTACTCTGATCCTCTATCTGTGATGGTAGAAGAAGAAGAAGGTCAGATTCGATAACAGATGAGGTTTCACTTTATGATAGATGTTTATTCTTACTTTACTACGTCTTATTTAATTTAAATTCTAATTGGGTGTATACTTAAAGAAAATATATATATAGTGTATTTAAATATGCAGAACGTGTTATGTAACCACCCAACCATTGAACATATTTCAAGGCAAGTCCTGAATAAAATATTTGGGATTCAAGGGGGTCCAACACTTGGACACACACCCGCAACTTATTATACACATACCAGTCAATGTTACAAAGATATCTGTTATATTGCCACTTGAATAACGAACAATTTTTTTATTCTTCAGAAATTGTAGTATGCATTGCTGATCTTACTTTATTGATGACTAATGATATCAAAATGTCATTTTGACAGTTCACCAATCCTATCACTGGTCAACACAAAAAAAGAAACCCATGGAGATTGACATTCCTGATGAAAGTAATGAAAGTGGCACAGGGATAAAGGAAAATGGGTTTCATCTTTATCCAGTTTCTGTTCATGACTCAGGTGAAGGTTTGCCATATGCTCCCATTGATTGGCCTAATCCTGGTGATAACTGGAGTTGGAGGGTGGGAAAGAGGGTTGCAGTTTCTGGATACTTTTTGGATAGATACCTTTATCTTCCCAGCCGTTTTCAGCAGACATCACGTAAGAGAAGCGGTTTTGCAAGCAAGCTTTCGGTTGAACAATATATCCGTGCCGAATTCCCTGGTGCAGACATAGATGCATTTTTCGCATCATTCAGTTGGAAGATCCCCTCGAAAAAACCGTCAGAGATAAAAGGTCAGCATTATTTTAGATTGTTCTGTTTTCAATTATTATTATTATTATTATTATTACTTATCCAAAAAAAAAAAAAAATTATTATTATTATTATTATTATTATTATTATTATTATTATCTTGTATGCGTGTGTGTGAATAACATTCCTTTGGTTTAGTTTTTGTGAACGGTACTTACATGGTGAGGTGGTGTTTGATATCCCTGTTATTCATGTGCTATATCATGAATAGGGAAATCCATACCTCCTCTATGGTATTTTTTTTGAAATGGTTAAGTATTTGGTAGTTTTAGTATGAACGGTGATGTCTAAGGACTTGGCTACGGCTTGTATGATGATGAGTGCTTCACATGTCTACCAGACATAAGTGGCGAAGCAGTAGGGTGTACTGTCCGAATCTGTAGCTGCATACTTGATCAAAGCTTTTAGTGATTAAGCCAATTTTGCAAGATTGACTCCTATATCTGAATGATTTGCTGATGTCAGTTTTCGGAAATTGTTACAATTAATAAGGTGTCAAAATTCTAATAAAAGGTTTTTAAAAACTTCTATATTTGCATGTGTAAGCCCCGCCCCCAGCCACCGCCCGGGGGTGCCTGTGCGGGGCGAAATTTGAAACTAGCACACCCTCTTTGACCCTATGGGCCTTGAACCCTCAACCTTCTACGATTATGTTATTCTTTCTTACATGACAATCATATTTTCATCTATGAGGAGGTGCAAGTGATAGGACAATGGGTTGAGATTTATTGATGCAATGGGAAATAACAGATGCTCAAACATGACTTTTTTCTTGTCAGAAAGGTGCGTCCGAGCAAAACTTTGAGCTGATGAGGACCAGTTTTTATAAATTTCAAAGAACAACCATTCTTGAATTATTTCAACAGCTCAGATGATGTAGGAATGCGAATGGTGCTCATATGCAACTTGTAATTCAAACTACTTGCTTATGCTCCATAAAACAAGATGATTAAATGCATTATCTATTTCCAACTTGTGTTACTAGATGATATTATGGTTTTCGTATTGAGCATGCTGAGAGGGACGGACTAGGTACAGACATACATTTAGCATTACCTGCACGGAGTAACTGCCGTTAGGCTCAAATGTACATTCGCGCACTTTGGTATTTTTCCCTGGTTGTGACCCTTGGTGTGGTTATTTTGGTCGGCTAAGGATTGGAGCTTATAATTATAAATTCTGTTTCGTCCAACATTTTTAGTTTTGCTATTTGAATTAATCTGGTTTTCCTTTTGGGATTTATTGCTATATATAACTATACACAATACACAATGCCCCATACTTAATTATGATCAAAAGAGTTAATTCTATTAAAGTATGAATATAACAAAATTAAATTAAGAATTAATATGAGTTTTTTTGGATCTAGATATAAAGCAGAAAAGTAAAAGAAACTACAAGAAGCCCAGATAAGGAGCGCACTTGGATACCTATGGAATGAACCTGACATGCTTAAAAATGAATGAAATGGCCCAAGGCCACAGAAATAAACAAAATGACCTGGAATGAAATTATTATGAAATAAAGGCTACCCTTTTTGTTTTTGTCTGAAATGGAATGTTTTGGCCTTACTAAGACATTTTCCATAACTATGTTGGAGATGGGTCTTATCGGGCTTTTGAAATGGTTGAAAATATGCTATAGAGATCTGTTGTGGATTAAGACATATAAGCTAGTCATTTTCAAAAAAAAAAAAAAGAAGACATATAAGCTAGTCATTTGATTTTATATTTTTGTAAATTTTCAGTTACAATTTTGTTGCCTGGTTTGGCAATCTATCAGTAATTTGAAGCTGTTTCTTTTGCGAGTTACTTTTATATCTGGATTTTCTATCCACTTTGAGCTCCAAAAAAAGAAAAAAAGAAAAAAGAAAAAGAAAATTGTGGCTGGGGTGGTTGGATAGACTTCCTTAGTCTAGGGCATAAATGCAAAGACTGGAGGGGGTATCTTTGCCATGTTGAAACCCCTAGATTTATATTGTGATGAAATTTTTACAGCAGGAATTTATAATTAGACGAGGAATGAAAACACTTATTCCTTTTTAGATATTGTTAATTGATGGGTTGGAACCTTACAGCTCCATGTTTCTACTAATTCAAAGTAAAGTTCTCTCCAGTTGCCTTTGTCCATTTAAATATAATCAATTTTTTGCTAAATAGGTGGTAATAGATTTATTCCTTTGTATGTGATTTGCCCATGATACGCAGGTATTTGGTTCACTGCTACCAAAGAGGGTGTAGCCCTCCCCTTACCCATAAATTCCAATTTCAATCCTACCAGGAATTGAACGTTACGCTTCCTTGAGGAAGTAGGAGAAACAAATTGAGCTAGAGTGCTAGACAGCTAGTGGTAACTGTACCCAATTTTTCTGTCATGAAACAATCTTTATTAGGGATGATATATATTATGGAGTATTAGAATGTTTCATACTTTAGGCTCAATTTTTTCCAATAATATGATGGTTCTCAAAAATGCAGTTGAAGGTTTTGTATATATATAGCCTCTATAAGATGTTACAAATGAATCGTATCCAATAAAACCAAGTTGAATATGTACTTACCAAGATAATGCTCCCATAGAACACTGCCTCAGAACACATTTGGAGTACCGCATGAAGTGGTGATGACATTTTATTAACTGTGATCTCTAGACATAGGCTGACACCAAATCTTCAGTACAGTTGAAGATCTCTATGTTGTCACTGATCTGTCTACAACATTCATTCCGCAAATCTGCTTCTTTACTGATTAATTCTCTGCCACTAGTAAGTCCTCCTGAGAATCTGGTTGATTGCTCCAATAGTATTAGTGATCTTGAATGGTTCAGCAACGGATGTATCAACACCAAATAACAATTAGTCACCGGTACTAAAATGTGTGATGAATGTTGAAAAATAAATTGATGCACTTTTTCTCTCATGAGAAATCTCTCAAAAGGATGAAAATGATTTGCAAAATATGAGTTTTGATCTTGTGTGAAAAGAAATAAAAACACAAATATATAGAAAAGCTCTCTACTTGCATCAATCTATCTACTTATCTATTTCTAGGGTTTTTTGAGATCATATATATTTATAATCACCCTAGAAAAGTAATAGAATCAGGTCAAAACTCAGTGTTTAGTCCTAAGAGGAATCTAAGAACTGACCTGGTTGATCAATTGAGGTAAATCCAGTAGCTCTCCATCGATACCTCTTTCGATTGAAGCTACAAAAGTAAGTCTCTGACACAATTGTTAAAGGCTCAAGGCCTTCTGGAGCCTAAGTGCAAGGCACAGTATAAGGCGCGAGCCTGATCGAAGTAAGGTGCATGTATATAATAATTCATATTTAAACATATAATATTATATATATTCATAATCAAGCAATAATTGCAGTTAATGTTAGTAGTGAACCATAAATTTATGAATTTTGTCAAATATTTCATAAGATTAAATAATACGATATATAATATAGAACCTTTTAATTTAGTAGTCATTAAGTAAAAAAGAAATTGATACTATTAGATGATTGAAAAATACAAGGCGCGCCTTTTTTGAGCCTGGAGCCTACTAAAAAGTGTGAGCATGAGGGCTTAATGTGAGCCTGATTGAAGGAGCCTGGCCTGTAGTAGGTTGAGGCGCTTTAGCTGAGCCTTGACAAGCCTGGGGCTTTTTTGGAGCCTAGGCTCGCCTTTAACAACTATGGTCTCTGATCGATATCTTGATGGATCGTCACTTGCAGTAACCTGATACTTGGAAAATTTGTTGGACATAGTCTTGTTTTTAAAAATCCATACATTATGAAAACTATATTTTGAAATTCAAATAAGTTTAGAAAAACTTTGAGATTTAGAAATATAAATATGAATGCATGGGCCCAATTAGTGAGAGTGCATCATAGTGTGAATTTACCTTTTTACCCATTGTTGATGAAGTTGACATTTTAACCTTTTAGTAGTTCGTTCTTCATCATGGAGGCAATTCTCACTTAACTCACTGGGACAAAACTAACTAACTAAAAATAAACTAAAATTACATTGAACATGTTTTGATCTACGAATTTTGCCAATTTAGTCCTATAGACTAATATTGGTTAATTAACCGCATTTAACAACAATGAGAACCATGCGATGGGATACATTTATTTTACACAAATTTCTTTCTTAATACTCTGGTTGATTTTTTTATAGTTAGTTAAAAGAAATCGTTGAGGGCGGGCTTTGGCGCAACGGTAAGGTTGCTCCATTATGACTAGGAGGTCATGGGTTTGAAACAGGAAACAATTTCTCCACTTCCGGAGGTAAGGCTATGTACATCAAATCCTCTTCAGACTCCCGCAGTGGCGGGAGCCTCGTGCACTAGGCTAGCCCCCTTTTTTTGTGAAAAATGTAAAATTCCCAATTGTCTATGTGAGATATATTTCTTCTTCCTTCTTCCACTCTGTTTACCTTCCTCTTTTCTAATATGGGTTTATTATTCTTTCAAATTATGCAACATGAATTTCCTATTTTTTATACCCATTTATATTTTGAAAATTCATCTACGACTTTGCGGAGACTTGTGCTTTTGGTAAACAGTCGCCCGGGCTAGTCATTTCAACCCCCTTGTGAGTGGGCACCCCTTACTCCCAAAGTTATAGGGCCATTTTGACGAGTTCCTTAGAGGGTTGTCTCCCACTCATAGGTATTCTCTACTACCTACTTGTGTTGGTTTCAGGTACAAGTACCCTTTTGTTAAGGTTGTTCGAGCTTTTCCTCGGAGTATGGCTTGGGTTACATCTGCATCGTAGCGCCTAGTACTCAAATATTGCTCGAGGCATTGAACCGATGACCATCTTTCAGCTAACCTAGCCTCATCAACTCCTTGGGACCAACAAGTGTAGTAATGGAATATTCACCTGTTGTCCATCAACTATGCCTTTTTGGTGCTTAATGTCAAAAATAGAAATATGGGGCAATTGTGTTATTATTTGGTTATGTTGTGCATATTTGACATTAAAAATGCGCGTGGGGCCATATATGGGGCTTTTGGGTTATATTTGAGTTAGTCGTGGAGGAAAGTGGAAGCAATAGAGGGTGGGAATTTTTTGAATTACAAGAGTTGGATATAATTGGGATCCATGTGTCATTTATACGCATAAAGGAAAGGACACGCTCGGTAGTCCTTTACATTTGTTGTGTCCTCCATTTTTCGTTTCATGCAACAGAAGAAAACTAAAGGAGAGGAAGAAAGTTAGAAGGGAAGGCAGACCAAGAGAAGAGAGATAGAGAGAGAGGAGGGGTTTCGGCTACTATTGAGAAAGGGGAATGAGAAAATTTAGACCATCTCATCACCACCATCTCATCTTCATCTTTCATTTGGATATGTTTGGTAGGGATTTCTCAACATTTGTGGCCTTGAGTTGGTTTTCATCTCAATTTCATGTTTGCCGTCCTGTTTTTGTTTAAATTCTTGAATTGGTATACTTTCTGTTTAAAACATCTTATGGTCTGATTCTATTTTGGAATTCAAACTGCATGTGTTAGTAGGCCTAATTTTCTTGTAGGTTTGCCATTTTATTTTCTTAAAAACTGTTGTTGCATATGCTGGATGTTTCTAAAGTGCTCTTGTCTAAGTTTTTCATGCTTTGTACATCTTGAATTTGATTAAAAATGGTTTTGGTACAGATTTTGATATGAGACAGATTCTACGGTTTGATTCAATCCTGAAAGATCAATTATATGTGTTGATAAATATGGGTTGCTGTAACTTGGCTTTTCTATTTGTTGTACTGAAATTTGTAAAACGTTCACTAGCTGGATTTGGAAAAGGAATCGGAATTAGAAAAGGAATTGGAACTAAAAAGAAATTCCATTTCTATGTTTGGAACAAATTGAATTTAAAGTTGGATTTAAAATGGGATTTGGAATAAAAATAATATTATACCATTTTTGCCCTTGTTTAAATGATAAATGAAATATTTATTTTATTGTTAAATATGCTCCAAATTTGCATGAAATAGACAAACAACGAGAAGGACTACATGATATAACTGAAATATAAAATTTATTTATTTAACAGATCACGTAAACAAAGAGCAATTATTTTTTAATTAAAAAACTAACTTATTAAACTGCCATCACCAACATACTTTAAAAAAAATTACTAAAAAGTAAAATAACGTTGGTGAACAGTCATAAGAGAGAGTAGTATGGAGTTAGTTAAATAACGTTGGAGATCGAGATATGCTCGTATATATTTAATAGGGTAGGGTTAAATGAGAAGAAGACTGTTGGAGATTGAAATAGTTTTAAGTAGATATTGTACAAGGTTAATTAAGATAATTTCGTATTTATCTTCCAAATCCTGTCAAATCCTGCCATTTTAGACAGGATTTGAAACACATTTGAAATCCCATAACTTTAAAATCCCATTCACAATCCGATGATTCCAAACACTGTAAATCCTATTTCCAAATCCAAATCCCATCAAATCCAGCATTCCAAACACCGCACTTTGTACAAGTTCCACATGATTTACACTTTGAGTTTGACTCTAAATTAGTTTTGGGACAGTTTTAATTTAGAATGGGGCTAGGAGGGTAATACCCGATTGAAAAGGGTACGAGTTACCTGTGGGCAAAAGTTCCGCTACTCAAGTGAGGGACCCATGTCACTGGGGGTTTGGAGTTGATTTCCACACTGATTCGAAGAAGGAGTGAACAGCTGCGGAACTTTATTGGATCTTGTAGTTGAACTCAAAATTGGTTATTTGGTATTGGAATAAAACATGATTATATTGAAATTATGCATTAATAGTTTTTCAAAGTATATATATAAGTATGGTTGTCTGGAATTCCAGCTATGTGCATAAAAAAACCCCTTGGAGACATATGTTAGGGTCTTTCCTACTAGCGTTGACTCACTCCTTGTACATTTCAGCTGCTATCACCCAGAGTGGTGAACATGAGAATGCTAGCTGCGACCCTTGAGCTTGTTTTGTGCTGGACACTTTTTGATGAAGCTTCATGCTTAACTTGACGATTTGAAGATGACAGCATGCCTTATTTTGATTTATTTCTGTTCTTATTGTATATAAATGACTTAATATATAAAGCATGCTATGGTGTTGATGTGTTTGTTTAACATGTTCAAGGTGAGAGTTGTACTCTCCTCTGTGTATATCAGGTTGTGTCCTTGTGTGTGGGCTAAGTTCCTGCCCATCTATGTAAATAAACTTTGGTAGTCATATCTAAGCTTTTGCTTATTGTCTTGTAAATGGATAATTTGGGCATGTTCAGGTTAACCCTTGTCTAAATGTATAATTATGGACTGTTGCCCATATTTTAGATGAATTGTACAACCAATGCACCGTTCACACATGATAGGGTACTTGTTGGAGTGTCCAAACCTTGCGGGGTCTTACGGACCTTATAGAACAGCAAATTCAAGAACTGATATAGGCCTTGATTCACCCTCCGTGGATGAACCTTGAGGAGCAACCCTTAGGTTTTCGGGGCATTAGATTTATTGTACGATTATCATTCTGTCTTTAGACTGCAGATTTTGAACACTCCTTTCGAGCTATTTAACATGCTCCTCTCTAGTCTTTGGAGGCTGTTACTTTTGAGCATAGATCTCGCTTCTGCTCATGGATTCCTTTTGAAATTTATTTTTAACTTGATAATCAATAGTGTAGGTAATGAAGATGAGCTTGGAACTGTCAAAGTACTTTCCGAGAAGATAACAGAACATTCTGGTTCAGATTCTCAGTTCGGAACTGGGGGTTGTAAGGCTGGTAACAAAATGTGCAGCAGTCTTGTAGAATTGGGGAATCCCTCGTCAGAAGTCATGGTCTGCAATATTTGCTGCAGTGAACCTGGATTTTGTCGCGATTGTTGTTGTATTCTCTGTTCTAGGACTATTAATTGGGACTATGGAGGTTACAGTTTCATTAAATGTGAGGGAATGATAGGTGAAGGCTTTATTTGTGGACACATTGCGCACATAGAATGTGGTCTCCGGTCTTATATGGCTGGAACAGTAGGAGGAAGCATTGGTTTGGATGCTGAGTATTATTGCCGGCGGTGTGATACGAGAACAGATCTGGTTTCACATGTTTCAAAGCTTTTACAGACCTGTCAATCTATTGAATCTCGGGATGAAATCGAGAAAATACTAAGTATCGGAGTTTGCATTTTGCGTGGATCACAGAAAACAAGTGCAATGATGTTGCTGCATCGGATTGAATTGGCCATGGCTAAGGTATAGCTGATTTGTTGGTGTATAACTGCTTTTTTTTTTTTGACCTCCATGAAGTTTATCCTTGTCTTTTTTCTTAAGGTCTCTAAAAGCAGTTACCTGACCAGCCTGATATTTATGCAGCTTAAGAGAGGGATGCATCTTGAAGATCTTTGGAAAATGGAAGACATCACTGCTGTTACTGCAGGTAACTTAATATGATGACCAAGATGTGTGTTAGGGAAAACCTTAATGCTTCAATATGATAGCCAACTAATTTTTTATATACCAATTTGGCCAAGAATCAGTCAGGCAACCTTGGAAAGTAGGCAATCCCCTTTCTTTAAGGTCATTACTGCTACTGCACTAAAATGGACTTCAGATTGCACGTAGGAAGTAAAATTTTCCAATGAATACTCTTTCTGTAAGGTTGTTACTACCCTACTGAAGAGGAATCTGCTGTCCGAGTTAATTTCTGACATGAAAAGATAAAGTGTTTCTTTAAATAATCAATTCTATGCAATTAAATAAACACCATTTATCCTATAGGTAACTCCATTGAAGAGCAAAACAAAACTTCTGGAAAGTAAAATACAACAATGCTACTAATAAATGGAAAAATGAGACCAAACTGTTGAATTTTGAGGCAGGTGATAAACAACCAGCTGCAACCAAAAGCTGAAGCAAATAATAATTGACAATTATGGTAGATAGACCATACTGTAGTTTTCATGGGTTATACGACATCAAACCCATAAGTTAATGCAATAGGCGTAATCACAGTATTCGACCTCTGGTAAGTTCTATTGGCCGAGGGAGCTTCTGATAGGTACTGTGCCAACTTTCGGATTTTTATTTTTTTGATAAGTATGCCATACTTTTGGATTTTCTCAATCATTCTTTCGATGACTATATTAATTAGTTTATTAGAGGATTCGGCATGACCATTACTTTCTGCATAATGAGGGGTCAAATTATAGAGTTGGATTCCATATTTCTCTGCAAAAGCTTGCACTTGCCCTCAACAAATACCAAACATTGATCAGGTCCTTATAGATTGTGGAATGCCAATCCTATGAATATTTTATTGCTTAATGAACCTAGTTACTTTAATTAGAGAGAGCGATTTCATAGGGTTTGCTTTCACTCATCTAGTGAAATAATCTGTCACCACGATTGTAAGGAAATAATGCTTACTTGAAGCAGGAAAAAGCGAAGAAGCATGGGCATGAATATGATACGACACGGATATGTCGACACGTCAAATTCTAAAAAGAATAATGTTTGCTGTAGGTGCAAAATTTCTCTTCACAAAAGGAATTAAAGAAATAATACAACTCACTCAAGAAAAATAACTAATAACAAGAATTATTTAGAGAAAAGCGTATATTGCTCGATGATCTTTATTGGAGGACTAAGCCTCTATTTATATACAAAAAGGTGGTGGAATTATGGTAGGACTCGTTCATAATTCTTTCCATGCCAGACTTTTCTTGTATAGAACTTTCCTTTTATGTAGGATCCTTTGATTAGCAGGACTAGTTCCATCTTAATGAATTTGCGCCGAATACAACTTGGACCGGCTGATCTTGTTAACGGGTTGGAAGGTCAACATTGGCGACCTTGGGCTGATAGTGCCTTTACTTGGGCTTGAACAGGGCTGGGCTTCTGCAACCCATCGAAAGATTAAAAGTGCAACTCTCTATTGTGGTTACGTGGATGACTCTTATTGGAGGGGGATTTTTCCCTCTACACTTTGCCCCCAATTCCCTCTTTAATTGGACTACGGCTCCTAATTAAAAGGAAATTGAAGTTGCATAGTTGCCAACTTTGCAAAAGGCGGTTCAAGAAGTGTCCATTGCGATTCTGACCAAAGAGCTTCCTCAAAACTTGCTTTTGCCCTCGCTGCGTTCATTGCACTCACTACGATCTTTGCTTCGTCGTGACACCAGGGTAGTTCCTCACCTATTTCTTTGATTTCACACCATGAGCATCTCACCCTCTCACGACCACATAGAGATTGTAGACTCCGAGTCCACGCGCTCGTCTTCCCCTAATCTTATTATGGTTCCTCCTTCTAGGGTTTCTAACCCTCCTGAATCTACAAACGATTCGACCGTGCGAATGGGTGATTCTTTACCCCAAGCAGAAGTATCTACTTTCGGCGGATCAAATAGTATTTTCTCAGAAAAGGAGAGAGAAATGATCCTGTCCGTCCGGCGTATTAAGTTCACCATCGAATTTGTAATGGAGGAATTTGAAATCCCTAAGGGGGTGGAAATTGCTGAATACCCTAAGAAAGCTAATTTCACTTCAGGTGAAGGTGTCGAGGAGAATGAGTTACTTTTGTCGGTTGGGCATCTTCACGCTCTTCGCTTTCCTCTTCACCTTTTCTATCATTTGGTTTTTAATAGGTTACGCATTACCCCTCTTCAAGTCAACCCTAACTTTCTTCGAATAGTCTCGGCTCTTCTTGTTCGCCGAAGGCTAGAGAGTCTTGACTTGACTCTCGCTGACCTATTGATTACTTACACTATCTCTAGACATGGGACCGAGCCTAGCCGTTTTTATTTTACTTCCTCTCTTCATCAAAGGATATGTACGGACCTCCCTTCCTCCGAGAAGAGATGGAAAGAGAGAATGATTATTGTTAAGGGGAACTGGTCTGTGTCTTAATCGAATAAACTCCCCATTCCTCGCAAATTTGGGAAGTTAGGTATAGAATATTTTCCCTTCCTTCATAAAAAGTGCTCTGGTTGCTTCCCATGTTAAGTTTTACTTTTTCGTCACACTTACAAATTTCTTGGTGTTTTTTCAGCAACATTGCCCTCCTCTGCAGCTAAGAAAAGGCTTACTTTTCTCGAAGAACAAGTTTGGAGTGATCCCCTTTTAGTTGAGGACCTGCTCTCTTCATCCAATCTTAAGGAAATCGCCTCCAGCGCTGCAGCTGCTGATCTCATGGATTTGTCACTCCCTTCATTTGACAGTTTTCCTTTGACCGACGAGGAGAAAAAGAGAGCTGAAGCTCTCAAAAGGAAAGCAACAGAGGATCAGCCCCTTGCAGTTAGTCGTTTTACTGAGCAAGAGAAGGATGTTGAAGAACCCCCTCTGAAGAAGAAAGTTAAACAAATCCCTTCTTCAACAAGTAAGGGCAAGGGTGTTAACCCCTCAAAAAGCAAGGGGAAGAAAGCTAATGAAGACGACCCCGAGGAAGAGATTAGGGCTTACGTCCTAGCAGAGGCTAGAGAACCTTGGAGACCCACTTTCTCCAGAGCTGATAAGTCGGTTCTTCATTCCGGAGACTCTGTAGTCACTGACCCCTCTGCTGCTTTGGCAATAGCTCGGGGGATGTGGCTACCCAAAGATGAGGAAATTATTGGCAACATGGGGCTGGACCAGCTGCTTCCTTCTGCCCCCGTTCACGCTATGGAGGTTTATACTTTCCCTTTTCTTTGATATTCACTTAACTTTCCTTTCACACTATTACACTATTGTTGATTGTGCAGAACATGTACCACACCATGGCCCTGTGTGCCACTGCTGAAGCTCAGTCAATTTTCATCCGGAAAATGGAGAAGGAACTGGATGCTGCTGAGAAGAAACTCTCCCATGCGCTCACGGATGTGAAGATGGCTTATGATGCCAGAGATGTATATAAAAGTCGACTTGCATCTGCTGAGGCTAAGGTGAAGGAGCTGGAGGCTGAGAACCTTCGGTGGAGGGATGCGGTGAATACTTGCACAACCGCTGGAAAGCAGATGCAGGGGCGCTACTCCTCCTTAGTGCGCCTATCAAGTGCGAGGGCCTTCCGGTTCGGCTTTAACCAAGGCTCAGGCGATAAATTGAAGGACCCAGATGCTTTTGACGTGGATATGGAGGTGTCCTTCCCTTATGCTGAGGGTCCGAAAGCCCAAGAAGCTGAGGTGTTGTTCGCTGAGATGGTGAAGTCTCATCAAGGGGATCCTCCAACTTCGACTTCCTCAGTTCCACCGGCTCCAAGCCCCTTAGTTCCTTCAGCCTCAAACCCTTCAACCCCTCCAGACACAGCTTCGAACCCAAATGTAGTTGATGTTTTTGACTCTGCTCCTTTTGATCCAAAAAGGAAGTAGAGTTGTGTAATATTTATTTTGAAACAATGTATTTCTTGCTAATGGATTGTAATTGTTAAACTTATTTTGGGACAATTTGCATATCCTTGAATGCTTTTGAGTTGCATATAATTGCTGAGTAGTTTTTTCATGCCTTTGAGAGAAATTCACTATCTGGGGACTTCGGACTCCTTGTTGTCCGAAGCAAAAACATAAAGGATATTAAGAAGGGAATTCCTATGATAGTTCGGTCACTATCTGAGGATTGTTTTACCATCTAGTGATCTAACCGTCAAGGGAACCCTTCTTGCCATTGATTTATATGGAGTGGGTATATCAATACTCGTTTTTGTCTTATACTATTTCGATGTGGGACAGATTACTTGATTGACTTAGTAACTGCCTTGACCAAATACATTGAGTTTGAGAATAGAATGTCAAGAAATATATCAACCTCCACTTAGGTTTTGGCTGGCTTATCTGGGTTTTGTTCCATTTGCTTGTACTCAGACTCCTAGCGTCTGAAGCGTGAGGTTCCTTGTCTTAGAGGAATTTTTTGATGTCTTCGGACTCTTGAGATTTGAGGTATGTGTTTGACTGGTATCTTCGGACTCTTGAGGTCCGGAGTGTGTGTCTCCTCGGCCTCTGCATGTGCCTTAGAGGAATTTTATTGATGCCCTCGGACTCTTGAGGTCCGAGGCTTGTGATTCCTTGGCTGTGCGCCTTAGAGGAATTTTATTGATTTCCTCGAACTCTTGAGGTCCAAGGCTTGTGATTCCTTGGCTGTGCGCCTTAGAGGAATTTATGAGTACTGTCGGACTCTTGAGGTCCTCAGCAGGAAATATCCTCGGCTTTACGCTTTAGAAGGATTTACCAAGTATTCGTAGCAATGATATCTTCAGACTCTTAGGGTCCGAGGAGCGTAGTTTCTTGGCTATGTGCTTTAAAGGAGTTAAGTAGTACTTTCGAACTCTTGGGGTCCGCAGCATGTAATATCCTCGGCTTCATGCCTTAGAGGAACTTTGTTGATATCTTTGGACTCGTGGGTTCGAGGATTCAAAAGTGAGAGAAGGCCAAGGAAAAGAGTGACAGTGACCTAGCCAGATTTGCAAGCGTTTGGTTGGGGTTCTTCATTTCACAGACACCCCTTCCTTGGCATTTGCTTGTAGTAAAATTTGGTTATATTAACCATCCTTACTTTTTATTTCTATTTGATGTGGGAGAAAGATGGGTATGGATTTAGGGCTAAATATTGGGCTTTTTGTAAAAAGCGGGGTGAATAATTGCAAAGAGTGCCCTCTGGACATGGGGCTTGATAAGAGCTCGTGGGCCACCCCAATATCCAGTGGGCCCCATTTGCAATTGCTTATATGATTAAATATTTCCCTATTTAAAGAGGGTTACTCAAATATCTTTTTACCGATGTGAGACAAAAACACAGTAGCTTTTGTAAATCCCTATTGGAAGTTATTTCCAAAAATAAATAGCTAAAAAAGTTTGAAAAATAACCAATTTGCAGGTTGAAAATAAAAAATTGAAAAATATTGAAATATAACCAATACTTGTCTCGAAAATTAAAAATTGAAAAATATTGAAAAATAACCAATACTTGTGTCTTTCGTTTCGTAATATTACACCTATTAGGGTACTAGTCTTGCCCCCTCTTACGAAAAAAAAAAGAAAAAGACAAAGAATATGCAAGTGACATAGTATCCTTCAGCGAATAAAAGAGTAGCCACGAGTGTCAATATGTGTGTACAAAAAGCGACCACAAATATCAACGCACTCATGAGGATTGGCTATTTGTTAGTGTAGTGAAGACCGTGGATGTTGAGAGGACGTAGTCAATAAGAAATTTTATGATGTAAAGATAAGAAATTTCACGCTCTCTATCACTTGGGTCACCACATACTTTCAACATAAGATGTAATAAGTAATTTTATTAAATGGGCCATAGGTTGGCATTTCATGGGCGCGTGATTACTCGCCCATCGGCTTCGGCTGGCCGGTAAGCTCCTTTCCCTACCACTTCTATGACTCTGTAGGGTCCGGTCCAATTGGGTTGCAATTTCTTCACATGTCCCGTTTCTTGCTTCAGCACCCAATTGCCTACTACAAAGCTTTTGAAGCTTATTGTAACTGTTATGCAACTGCTGTTACGCAATTAGCCTTTCAATCCTTTCAGCCATGGTGGCTGGGATCTGAAAAAGAGAGAGAAAGTATGTGGGAAGACTCGCCAATGTGCTCTTCATGAGGGTGACCTTCCCGCCCGTCGAAAGATACTGCTTCTTCCACTCAGCAAGTCTCTTCTCATACCTCTCAACCACAGGGTCCCAACCTCCCACCCTTCTTGACGGTGAACCCAGAGGCAAGTCCAAATAAGAAATGGGGAAAGAGGAGATCCCACACCCAAGCACCGCTGCAAGCTCATCAATGTTATGCACCTCCCCCACAGGGACTAACGAACTCTTCCTTATCACTTTTAGACCCGAAACAGCCTGAAAGCAAACTAAAAGACATCTCAAATATCTTATTTGGGACACATCAGCATCACATAAGACTAATGTATCATCCGCAAATAACAAATGGGAAACCTCTATCTCATAAGAGTCTCTGCCCACCCTGAAGCCCCTAATGAATCCCAAATCCATAGCCCTCCTCATCAACTTGCTAAGAGCCTCCATAACAATAGTGAACAAAAAAGGAGAAAGATGATCCCCTTGTCTCAATCCCCGAGAACTGCCAAAGAAGCCAGACGTAGCCCCATTCACCAACATCCAGAATCTCACTGACGAAATGCATTTCACCCCAAAACCCAGCCTCCCCATCATATAAAGCAAAAACTCCAACTAACGTGATCGTAAGCTTTCTCAATATGATGCTTACACAGAACTCCCGGAAGACCACTATTCAACCTAGAATCCACACACTCACTAGCAATGAGCATTGAATCCAGGATCTGCCGACCCCCAATGAAAGCAGTTTGAGATTCTGAAATAACTCCATTCAAAACATCCTAACGAAATCCATTAATAGATTTATGTATTATTTTGAATGAATTAACCGAAAAGGACTAGACACACGATTATCAATCCTAGACTTGAAGGACGCACAATGATGCTTACTAAGTTGATAAGCTTCACATGACAAAGACGACATACAAACAAGACTTGGGACTTAAAGTTGTAAAACTGGAAGCGATAGGTGACCAAGATGACTGTGCCACTAAAATGGAGATAGAGAAGAATGACAAACCATGGGATGAGGCTCAAAGTAAAAATAGTATAAGCCACCAGCTTCATGCCCTGTACCAATCTTCTTCTTTGTCTTGAGATTCTGGAAAACACAATAAGCGGGATAAAATGTAACAGAACGATGAAGGGATTTGTAAGCTTACTAATAGACATCAAGTTAAAGGGAAATTGAGGAACACGTAAAACAGATGACAAAGATAAGGAAGAATTAAGTTGAGTCATTCCAACACTTGAAACTTTAGATGATGAACCATTAGCAAGAGTGACACTTTTAGAAGGGGCGACATGATGAAAATCAGATAAAATATGGGAGCAACCAATCATATTGTTTGATGCTCCGAATCAATAATCCAGGAACTTTGAGTGGCCGGAAATTTTTCACCGGAAATTGACTGGCCGGAACTTGTTTGCTGGCCGAAAACTGAACTGCTGGGAAGAGAGACGAAAAATTGAGTTGCTGACCTGATTCGGGTTAATAAATGTGGTTGATTCTGTTGGGTCTGGTCACATCAATTTGGCCCATCTTTTTTCCTCTCTCTATTCTGTTACATGCTGACAACCCTAACCGCTGCAATTCTTCTCCAATGACGACGGCATCTGCAACCAATCACAACCACTTCATGATGGCAGACACAAAACCACCACCACCATTACATGGAGGCAGCCACAAAGACCAACAACAATGGCAATCTACAGAGACCATTGCTAACGCATGGGAACGTGATCACTAGACGAAGATCACAATCAGCACCAATAATAACGACGACGATGATGTCACCAATGATAACCACACCTCAGACACTCTCTGATACCATGTTGATTTTAGGATTTACAAAGAAGAAGAAACAGTGTATCGGATCTGAAAATATTGTTAGGAGAGTCACCTAGTAGGCCTTCTCTCACTTATTTTATATAACAATTTTTATTACAAGGAAAATGACCAGCATGCCCTTCTAAGAAATAACAAATATGCTTTTATACATTCTAACAGTTTCATATAAGACGACTAGTGTGGGATGTTTTGGTTGAGTGCCTGAAATGTGATGACCAAGTATCCGAGATCTGTCTGCCAAGTGTCTGTTTCCAGGATGTCATGTGTTTGTTTTAGTAGAAATATAAAAAGAAGAGAAAAGAGAGAATTGCGTAAAGGCTTGAATGAGGTGAATTACCCATTCACAGCTCTAGTATTTATAGATAAAATGAGCACATGCTCATATTACAAGAAAGGAAACAAAAATCAAATCATTGCATATTCTATGCCTAGACATATGCGTAAATAAAGTCAAATACATGATTAGTGGCTATCATATCTCACAGATAATATTGTAAATCACATCCCATGATTTGGGCCTATCATATCTCGGCTATTATGGTAAGTTATACCATAAATTGTGGTATCATAAATGCTAACACTCCCCCTCAAGTTGGTGCGTGGATATCTGAAACGCCCAACTTGGACAATGCATTCTCAAACACAATCTTGCTGACGCTCTTTGTAAGAATGTCTGCAAGCTGCTGAGAGCTTGTGACAAATGGAGTGCAAATTTGACCAGAGATGATCTTCTCTCGAATAAAGTGACGGTCCACCTCTATAGGCTTAGTCCTGTCATGCTGAACGGGATTTGCTGCTATGCTAATGGCAGACTTGTTGTCACAGTAGAGTGAGAATGAAAGCGACACTGGAAGGCATACGTCTGTCATCAAGGTTTTCAGCCAAAGCAACTCACCTACTCCAAGAGCCATAGCCCTATACTCTGCCTCTGCACTAGATCGAGAGACAACATCCTGCTTCTTACTGCGCCAAGTAACCAAGTTACCACCAATAGTGGTACAATAACCTAAAGTAGACCTACTATCTGAAATTGATCCTGCATAATCAGCATTTGTCCAAGCCTCAACACGTAAGTGGCCATGATTAGCAAACAAAATACCACGGCCTGGATACCCTTTTAAGTAGCGAAGAATTTGAATAGCTGCATCAAGGTGTGGGGCACGAGGAGAGTACATGAATTGACTCACGACACTCACGGCATAAGCAATGTCAGGTCGAGTCATGGATAAATAGATGAGCTTCCCCACAAGTCGTTGATACTGACCAATATTTGACAACAACTCCCCCTCAGAATCAGCCAACCGATGATTCTGCTCAATCGGAGTATCAGCAGGACGAGCGCCAAGCTGACCAGAAGCAGAAAGCAAGTCAAGAACATACTTGCGTTGAGAGATGAAAATGCCAGTCTTGGAGCGAGCCACCTCAATGCCCAAGAAGTATCGTAGGGGACCAAGATCCTTAATCTCAAACTGACGGCCAAGATAGCTCTTAACCTCATTAATTCTGGTAGTATCATCGCCGGTAAGAATAATATCATCGACATACACAATGAGAGCAACTGTCTTACCGCCTGAATGATGTAAAAACAAGGTATGATCAGCTGCACTTTGATGGAAACTAAACTTGAGCATAGCAGTGCCAAAGCGATCAGACCAAGCTCGAGGAGATTGCTTGAGACCATATAAAGAACGACGAAGACGACATACCATACCAGAATGAGCAGGAGAACGAAAGCCCGGAGGAGGAACCATGTACACCTCCTCCTGCAAATCACCATTAAGAAAGGCATTCTTGACATCTAACTGAAATAGAGGCCAAGATCGAATTGCAGCAACGGAAAATAATACACGGATGGTATTCATCTTGGCAATAGGGGCAAAAATCTCTTGATAATCTATGCCATAAGTTTGAGCATAACCCTTGGCAACCAATCGGACCTTGTAACGAGCAACTGACCCATCTGGATTATGCTTGACTGTAAACACCCAAAGACAACCCACAGCCTTTCGTCCAATAGGAAGCGGAACCATGTCCCAAGTTTGATTTTTCTCAAGTGCTTGTAGTTCTTTTGTCATAGCATCACGCCATTGAGGTTGTGCTAGCGCATCTGCAACACTGAAAGGAACAGGAATCGAGGCAACAGAAACAAGAAAACTTTGATAGGAGGGTGAGAGAGCATAATCAGAAACAAAATTAGAAATAGGGTAAGTACAAGAACGTTTATCCTTTCGAAGAGCAATGGGGCGATCATCAAGCGAAACAATACCTTGAGAAGGCGGAGCTGGTGCCGAAGGAACAGGGCAGTCGATCGTGGGAGTAGAAGCTTGTACCTGTTGTCTCCGATTATAAACTTGTGAAAAAGGAACAATTTCCCCTGCTGGAGGGTTATCACAAGGAGGAATTATAGAAGAAGAAACAGGTAATGGTAGAGGAGTTGAAGACGGAAGAAGGTGATCATCCATTATATTCAATGGGAACCATTCACTCTGAGAACCAACTGAACCACTATAGTATGGTGTATGCTCAAAGAAAGAAACATCCATGGATATAAACCGCCGACGACTGGGAGGATGGTAACACCTATAACCTTTTTGAGAGTGAGAATAGCCCAAAAACACACACTTCAAAGCCTTGGGGTCAAGCTTTGTACGAGTTTGCTCCAACTGCTGAACAAAGCACACACACCCGAAGACTCGTGGAGGAATAAAAAATAGAGATGAATTGGGATGTAAGATTGAGAGTGGGGCTGCAAAGTTAAGAATCCTAGAAGGAGTCCTATTAACGATGTAAACAGCGGTAAGAACTGCATCTCCCCAAAATGACTGGGGAACATTCATGCCAATGCAGATTGCTCTGGCTAAGTTAAGGATGTGGCAATTCTTTCTCTCAGAATGACCATTCTGTTGAGGAGTTTTAACATTAGCCAGCTGATGCGCAATCCCAAATTCTGTACATAACCGTTGTACCTCCCCATAAGTGTACTCTGTACCCTGGTCAGATCGGAATTTTTTAATGGTACGACCAAATTGAGTCTGAACCATTGTCATAAAATTTTTAAAAATGGTGTATACCTCATTTTTGGTTTTCATAAGATAAACCCAAGTAACACGACTATGATCATCAATGAACAACACGAAATATCGAAATCCAAGACTAGAAGTAACTGGGCAAGGACTCCACACATCTGAATGAACAAGATCAAAAGGTGTTAAAGCAGATTTATTACTACTAGCAGGATAATTAGAACGAACATGTTTAGCCATATGACATGTTTCACAGGATAAATCTGACACTGTCACATTACAAAATAAGGAAGGAAATAAATGTTTCAAATAACCAAAAGAAATATGTCCTAAACGCATGTGCCTACGCATAAGCTGGGCTTTATTAGATGAAACAATATTAGAAAATGAAGCTGAATGTGCTTGCGGTGACAAAGGAGTATCCAACAGGTATAAACCGTCCACTTCACGCCCACTGCCAATTGTCCGTTTCGACACCAGATCCTGAAAAATACAATGAGAGGGAAAGAACGTTACACTACAATTTTATTGTTTGGTAACGCTACTAACAGAAATAAGATTTGTAGTCAACTTTGGAACATGAAGTGTATTTGACAAAGTTAATGAAGGAGTAACTGATATGTGACCCTTCCCAGCAATGGAAGATAGAGAGTCATCCGCAAGGCGGACCTTGCGTTGGCCAGAGCAGATACTATAAGATTGGAAAAGTGAGGACATAC